ACTTGAACACAAACAGATAACAAACGTGAAAAATTTTAGTTGTGCTTTAGTGTAATTTGTGGGAGGCAGCATCTTCGAGCACAGGAAAAAATATATAAAAAACATTATGGTTTTTTAGCATATTCCCATTGTGGTAAAACTGCATTAAGGTGTCTTATCGAGACACATTAACATAGCCAGGGCTGTCAACCCCCGAGATATTCAAATCTGGAGAATTGATAGGGAAGGGACATGACGTCACAGCGCATCAAAAAGTGCGCAAAAAGACACCTTTCACTTTGTAACATTAGATGTGATTGGTTTATTTCTGACCAATCAGATTATCGCTTATATTACAATGGCCTGCTTGCAAGAACAGTTTATGAGGAACGTTTTGATTTTGTTAGCGATGTAAAATAACAAAAACAACATGAAATAATTGGAATTTTATGGTTGTGAAAGTCGAGTTTCACAAGAAATGTTCAGCTTCGGGGATTATCCGGGAGATTTGAGACTCTAATCTGGAGACCGGGAGATACGGTCCAAAATCTGGAGACTCCCGGCTTATCCGGGAGAGTTGACAGCCCTGCATAACATTCATGGAAATTGTACATAAAACATTAATGATCTTCAAGTTAACAACAATGGCATTTAGAATTTAATAAACATATATGGTTTTTGCTCTAAAAGCAACAATGGTTAATAATTTCCCATTAATGGTAAACCATGTGAAGAAATCACAGCATTGGGAAATTGAAAACGCAATTTTGTGTTATGAGCAATACACGTGAATGTTTAAGCTAATTCCCAAGCAGACTATTGTTTTTCTTTCTTTTGGATGTCTGCAGGCAATATTCCAACATTAAAGTTTTTTCCATGCTTTCATTGATGAAAGATATTGGTCAGCTTGTGTGAAAGAGCCAAAAAAGTTGGGGGTCACTGTGCTTGTTCTGGAGATAATTCGCATGATAATTAGCACTAACTTTCATATGAACTATTGGAGACTGCACAAATGGGACTGCATAAATATAGAAGTAGATAAATATATGTAAAAAGAAAATTGGGGGTCACCGTTCGTTCTGAAGAGATATGGGCTTACTAGCCATTGTTGTTTTTTATCCCAAAAACCATCAGTGGTGTACTTGTTCTTTTCCATTAATGGTTATTATAGTGGGAATTATACAAAGTACCACTCCAAAAACCATTTATGTACTTTTATGGAAAAACCATTATGAGAAGTTGGAGAACCATGCATGTATTATAAGTCATTATAAGTCTTTTTCCATTCTTGTTTCTTTGAATGGGAATTACTATAATTACCATTCTAAAAACCATTTTGTTTTTTAGAAATTTTTTCCTGTGGAGTGGTCATAACATCGGTCTCACAATCTGGTGGTGCTGAGTTCGAGTCCCGCTGTGGACACTATCTGAGACTGTATTTGCCCTAGTTTCTGATTAGTTCAAATTCAGTTTCTTAACCATGCTTGTAAATAGCCAACTGGTTTGCCTCCTTGCCAGTTGGGATTCTTAAAACACTTTATGTTTCTTTGATCATTTCTTCATTTAAGTTTCATTTCAGTGTCCCCAATTAGTTGTATAAACTAAATACATTATTTATTATTATTGTTATTATTATTATTATTATTATTATTTCATTTGTTTATTATTTCAGCTGATGCACCGCCTCATGGGCTAGACCAAAATGGAGATGGATTCCCAAACGGCTGCCCAAAGGGACATGATCCTTTGACTGTATGCCACACCCTTGCTGAAAAAGGAATCACGCTGTACTGCATTGGATGTGAACCCAGTGTTCATGCATTCAGGGACTTCCTAATGGCGTTGGGAGCAATTACCGGAGGGCAATATGTGCCACTTCGTCATGCAAAAACCTTGGCCAAGGTAAACTCTCTTACATAATCTTCAAATTTTATCAATAAACCCTGAAGGAACCTCTGGGCTGATCTAAGTCATGACACGGCTAACTCACAGATTGAACCCTGAAACAACCTCTGGGCTGATCTAAGTCAGGGCATGGCTAACTCACAGATTGAACCCTGAAACAACCTCTGGGCTG